GACAAAGGCGGCAGGGCGTGGCTCTGGCCACCCACTTCCTCGTGCGCCGTGTCGGCCTTCATAGGTGCTCGTTAGCAGCACTTGCCCCGCAACAGTCTGTCACGGGCTACACGGACATCTTTGCCTTTGTATCCGAATGAGAAATCCCACACACGCGGGTTGGAGCGGTGGAGCTGCCCTGCGGACCAAAGTTCGATTCCCGACCACGGCTAACATCATTGGCGAGTGACATCAGACGCGGTGCTGGGCAGAATCCCTTTCAACCAAACCCGCACTGACCAGCGGGGCGAGGTGTGGCCAAACACAACACCCCGTGACCGCCTCGGCGTGTGGAGAAGCTTCATCCCACAGTGGATCGCAATTACCGTATTCTCCCGAATTTAATAATGCGTGAGTCGCATATAACTCAATTCGCACCGGGCACGCGTTTGGGTGGGGTGGGGGGTGCGTCTCTACTCGGCAGAACACGGTGATCGCGTGCGATGGTTGAACGCAGATCGCATCCTCTTGCAAGCATAAGCTCGCTTGGAGTTCGAACAAAGCGGACACGTTCGTAGACCCTTCTTAAAGGCTTTTCATCGATTTAGGGCAATTAACATTCAGGACAATTTTCCCCCCGCGTCGCGATTATCTTTCGGTCAGTTTACACAACATCATCATTATCGCCATCGCCACCACCACCACCATCATCACCACCATCACCATCGTCGTCATCACGTAACGAGAGCCCGCATCATTGTAACCGAGACCTCTTCTCTATTCGCGGTCTAGAGTAGAGCAGCAGCAGGAGGAGGAACACTCATGCGGATTCGCTTCTGCTGCGTTGGCAGTGGTGCAAACAGCACAACTAGCAGCGGCAGCAGCAGCAGCAACTCACCACGTGTGGTGCTGGTGGTTGCTGTAGTTGTTGTGGTGGTGGTGGTTGTAGTGCTTACCTTAGTGGTATGGGTGATGGAGGTGTGTTTTTGATCGTGGTGGTGGTTGTGTGGTTGTGGTAACATCGATGGCTGGTGGTTGTTGTTGTTTTTGTAATGGTAGTAGCGGTGGTGGTTGTGGCAACAACAAAAACACAATTTAAACATCCGTCGATAACAGTGGCCTTGAAAAAAGAGTAACAGGAGACGTTTCGGGTGATGGCCCTTCTTCACAGCTTATGCTGTGGGCCATCGCCATTTTTACAAACACGTCGTCTAATTTTTTTTATGTTGTTCATTTTTTTAAGGCGACAGTGTCAGTGACGAACCTGCCCCAGCGAGTGGACGTTCTGAGCGTGAACGCAGCAACATGGAGTAGCCACTGCCACTGAGCGAGAATCACAGAGTCGAGCATTGTCCAACCCGCCCCCCTCCCCCCATTCTAGCACGCGTGGGTTCCTTCCCGCCTGTATCAACGCTCATTCATTGGCCGAAAACATCTTAATACATAGAGGGCCGCAGAGCTCGAGGCAACTGTTGGTAGAGTCACGGTGGATCGCCGCGTGGCTGCTGCTGCTGCGATTGTGAGAGATTGTGAGAGATTGTGAGATATTGTGAGAGATTGTGAGAGATTGTGAGATATTGTGAGAGATTGTGAGAGATTGTGAGAGATTGTGAGAGATTGTGAGAGATTGTGAGCGATTGTGAGAGATTGTGAGAGATTGTGAGAGATTGTGACGATTGTGAGAGATTGTGAGAGATTGTGAGAGATTGTGAGAGATTGTGAGAGATTGTGAGAGATTGTGAGCGATTGTGAGAGATTGTGAGAGATTGTGAGAGATTGTGAGAGATTGTGAGAGATTGTGAGAGATTGTGAGAGATTGTGAGAGATTGTGAGATATTGTGAGAGATTGTGAGAGATTGTGAGGGATTGTGAGAGATTGTGAGAGATTGTGAGAGATTGTGAGATGATTGTGAGAGATTGTGAGAGATTGTGAGAGATTGTGAAGGATTGTGAGCGATTGTGAGAGATTGTGAGAGATTGTGAGAGATTGTGAGAGATTGTGAGAGATTGTGAGAGATTGTGAGAGATTGTGAGAGATTGTGAGAGATTGTGAGATTGTGAGATTGTGAGAGATTGTGAGAGATTGTGAGAGATTGTGAGAGATTGTGAGAGATTGTGAGAGATTGTGAGAGATTGTGAAGATTGTGAGCGATTGTGAGAGATTGTGAGAGATTGTGAGAGATTGTGAGAGATTGTGAGAGATTGTGAGAGATTGTGAGATATTGTGAGAGATTGTGAGAGATTTTGAGAGATTGTGAGAGATTGTGAGAGATTGTGAGAGATTGTGAGAGATTGTGAGAGTTTGTGAGGGATTGTGAGAGATTGTGAGAGATTGTGAGAGATTGTGAGAGATTGTGAGAGTTTGTGAGAGATTGTGAGAGATTGTGAGAGATTGTGAGAGATTGTGAGAGTTTTGTGAGAGATTGTGAGAGATTGTGAGAGATTGTGAGGGATTGTGAGAGATTGTGAGAGATTGTGAGAGTTTGTGAGGGATTGTGAGAGATTGTGAGAGATTGTGAGAGATTGTGAGAGATTGTGAGAGTTTTGTGAGAGATTGTGAGAGTTTGTGAGGGATTGTGAGAGATTGTGAGAGATTGTGAGAGTTTTGTGAGAGATTGTGAGAGTTTGTGAGAGTTTGTGAGGGATTGTGAGAGATTGTGAGAGTTTGTGAGAGTTTGTGAGGGATTGTGAGAGATTGTGAGAGATTGTAAGATATGGCAATTTCGTGAACGGCGATGCGATCTATTACACGACTACGTAACGATTATCATTTTTAGCGATGACTTTTTATCTGTGGTCGTGTGCGTCCGTGTGTGTGGTGTGGTGTACGCATGCGTGTGTCTCTGTCTTTGTGCGCACGTGTTCTTGTTATGTGTGCCTGGTGTGTATACACATCTGTATTTGTGTGTAAGTATACAATTATGTATGTACAGTCTATGTGTATCCACGTATGTGTGTCTTTGTATGATGCCTATGTGCCTGTCTGTGCGTTTGTTTATGTGTGCACGTGTGTGTGCACGTGTGTGTACGTGTGTGTGTGTACATTGTGGGGAGAGGTAGTGTAGCTGTTAGCGCGCTGCGCTATGAACCTGGCGACCCGGGTTCGATACCCGCTCACGGCCAACACCCAGTGACGATTATCTGAACCGGTCCTGGGCCTCCCCTAGGTCGACTCAGCCTCAAATGCGTACCCGGTGCGATGTGTAAACATCGTCACTGGGGAGACAAAGGCGACCGGGCGTGGTGCTGGCCACCCACCTCCTCGTGTACCGTGCCGGCCTTCATAGCTGCTACTCGCTAACAGTCTGTTAAAGGCTACACTGGGGATCTTTGTCTGTGTCCGTATGTGTATGTATCTTGCGATGTATCTTTACATATTCGCGTGCCTGTATGCATATGTATGCATAGGCATACATATGTGGGCGTGTGAGTGAGTGAGTGTGAGTATGAGTGTGTGCGTGAAGTTCACACGCGAACGCACGCGCACGAGCGACGCTCACAACAACGAGCGGAGCGCCGGGCGGATAAAACACATCACGAGTTGGCACATTTCGGAGGGCGGGTTGGATCATTGCAATGAACCCATAACACCTGGGTCTGTCCCGTGACGTCCTCCCAGCAGTGGAGCCTTCCACACTTCACGTGGCACAAGTGCCGTGGTGACGTCACCTCCACTTCGTGGCAAACGCCTGTTGTTGCGTTGTTGTTGTGTTGTTGTGTGTATCGGCATGTCAATGTGAATACGTCTGTGTGCGAGTGTGTTGTTGTCGTGTGCGTGCACCTAGCCTGGCACAAGCTCCACGCTGACGGGCCGCTATTGTTTGCGTGCATGCGCGTGCACATGGGAGTGTACACCTAAGTATGCACGTTGAACTTCTTTTGCACCGCACGTAGCCAACCATGCGAATCCGGAGGCGCGTGCGTGTCATCGGTGTCTCGCTCACTGCACTTGCCCCGATAGCCTGTGACAGGCTATACGGAGTGGGGGGGGGGGGGTCTTTGTCTTTGTATGTGCGCGTGTGTGTATGTATGCGTGTGTGTGTGTGCGTGTGTATGTATGCGTGTGCGTGTGCGTGTGTATGTATGCGTGTGCGTGTGTGCGTGCGTGTGTGCGTGTGTGTGTGCGTGCGTGTGTGTGTGCGCGTGTGTATGTATGCGTGTGTGTGCGTGAGTGAGCGAGCGCCACGTGTTTGAAGCATGCGCGTCTCTCTCTCTCTCCAGAGTTCGTTTGTAGTAAAAAGTCGCCGCGTAAACTCGGCCCGAGGTCTCCACCTCCTCCTCCACCTCCTCTACCTCCTCCTCCCGCCTACCTCTCTTCCTACCCTTGCAAGGGAAACTCGAGCGGACTACCGCAACGAGGAGGACGATTTGCGATCGGGAGAAGGGACGACGATGACGGTGATGATGATGATGAGGTGGTGGTGGTTGTCGGTGGTTGTGGCGGTGGAGGGAGGGAGGGAGGAAGGAAGGAGGACTTAGGCCGAGATGGTGGACAGCGAGGAGGAATAAATAGTCGAGCGGGGGGGGGGCGGACGATGCCACTGTGGGGGGTGAGGGGGGCATAGCACACGAGGCGACGGGGTCCCTACGGGGTCCCTACGGGGTCCATACGGGCTCGCAGTGACGGCGTCGTCTGGGGCAGGAGGAGGAGGAGTTGGCGGGCCACGCGCAGACATCCAGGATTCTGGGTTTGGTCGGCGAAGGGGTCTTGGCAGTCGTTTTTTGTTGGTGGTGGTGGCTGTGGTAGTGGTGTTGGTGGTGTTGGTGGTGTTGGTGGTGGTGGCTGTGGTAGTGGTGTTGGTGTTGGGTTGTTAGTGGTGGTATTCGTCATGGGGTTGTTGTTTTTGATGTTGGTGGTGGTTGTGGTGTAATGGTGGTTGTGGCGGTGGTGGTGATTGTGGCAATGTTCTTAGTGGGTTGGTGGTAGTGTTTTTGGTGGTGGCTATGGTGGTGGTGGTGATTTTGGTATTAGTTATGGTGGTGGTTGTGGTGGTGGTGGTGTTGGTCATCGTGATGGTGGTTGTGGTGGTGTTGGTCATGGTGGTGGTTGTGGTTTTGGTGGCGGTCGCAATGGTTATGAGGCATAGAACGACGAATCGATTATTGGGCTCACGATACACGCATCGAATCGCGTGTCGGATAATCGATTATTATGATTTACGCAAATTATATGCAAACGATATGCTAACGTTACATTTAGGCTAATGGTAGTGAACACAACGGCACGGACAAGACCTTTGAAAAATAAAACCAGGAAACAATGCAAACGAGAGAGCGTAAAACACGACACAAAATAATCGAATCGAGACACCGAATCGTGACGATTCATAGAATCGTTAAGGATTTGAATCGTTAATGCCGAGTGGCGATGGTGGTGGTGAGGGAGTGGTGAGGTGGTGGTGAGGCGGTGGAGGAGGTGGTGGAGGTAGTGGTGGAGGTGGTGAAGGGGTGGTGAGGTGGTGGTGGAGGAGGAGGTGGAGGAGGTGGTGAGATGGTGGTGGTGAGGTGGTGGTGGTAAGGTGGTGGTGGAGGTGGTGGAGGAGGTGGTGGAGGTGGTGAGGGGGTGGTGAGGTGGTGGTGGAGGAGGAGGTGGAGGAGGTGGTGAGATGGTGGTGGTGAGGTGGTGGTGGTAAGGTGGTGGTGGAGGTGGTGGAGGAGGTGGTGGAGGTGGTGGTGGAGGTGGTGAGGGGGTGGTGAGGTGGTGGTGGTCGTCGAGGTGATGGTGGAGGAGGTGGTGGTGAGGTGGTGGTGAGGTGGTGGTGGTCGTCGAGGTGATGGTGGAGGTGGTGGTGGTGGTGACGAGGTGGTGAGGAGGTTGTAAGGTGGTGGTTGTGGAGGTGGTGGGTGGTGGTTGTGGAGGTGGTTGCTGTCCGAGTAATGTTTGGAGTTGTGGAGGTGATGGTGGTTGTGGAGGTGATGGTCATTGTGATGGTGGTTGTGGAGGTGATGTTGGTTGTGGAGGTGATAGTGGTAGTTTCTGGGTAGGTGTGGTGGTGGTGGTAGTTGTGGAGGTGATGGTGGTTGTGAAGGTGATGGTGGTAGTTTCGTGGTAGGTGTGGTGGTGGTGGTAGTTGTGCAGGTGATGGTGGTTGTGGAGGTGATAGTGGTAGTTTCGTGGTAGGTGTGGTGGTGGTGGTAGTTGTGGAGGTGATGGTGGTTGTGGAGGTGATAGTGGTAGTTTCGTGGTAGGTGTGGTGGTGGTGGTAGTTTCGTGGTAGGGGTGGTGGTTGTGAAGGTGGTGGTGGTAGTTTCGTGATAGGTGTGGTGGTGGTGGTGGTAGTTTCGTGGTAGGTGTGGTGGTGGTGGTAGTTGTGGTAGGCGTGGTGGTGGTCGTAATGGTGTCGATTAGGGCATCACCACGGACGGTGGTGGTTGTGTTGTCTCGATATCCGGGTGTTGTTGTTATTGTTGACTGTTGTTGACATTGTTGACTGTTGTCGTTGTTGAATTTTGTTGATTGTTGTTGACTGTTGTCATTGTTGGCTGTTGTTGTTGATTGCTGTTGTAATTTTGGCTGTTGTTGTCCTGGCCATTTGAGTTGTTTTTAGTGATAGCTGCTGTTGTTGGTGTCACTGTAGGAGTAGACGTGTTTGTTGGAGCTATTGTTGTTGTTGGCTCGGCAAACCAAGCCGCCGCCGCCACCGCCACATCAACCAACCCACCCTCGCGTTTCGCCGCCAGCCTGGGGAACTCCACAACTGCCGCGTATCGGTTCACTACCACAGACAGGTGCACGCGCCTCCACCACGAGACGGGTGATTCCACATCTTCCCCCTCCACCACCACCCCCCACCTACCCGACCCCCAACCCTGCCCACCTTCTTGAAACCCCCGAGATAAGAGATTATCTCCGCCTATCACAAACAACAATAGACAACCTTCACATGTGCATATACTCAAAACACAACTTCCTCCACCATCTCCACCTCGTCCACCCCACCACCACCACCACGCACTTTGGCTAAAGTCGATCGAGTCTCAGCCGCGTGCGTGGGTCCACCGTGAATGTCGAAGCACGTGATCCGCAGAGGCAGCGTCCCTGTGACGTGCCCCCCACACGTGACGTGTCCTTGTGACGTCTCTCACACGTGACGTGTCCCACACGTGCCTTCTCGTCCAATATAAGTCATCTTTTTGAGAGAGAGAAAAAAACTCGTCTGTCCGTTTTGATGTTTGTTTTTGTTGGGGGGGGGGGGGTGTAGTACCATCCGCTTGCGCCCCCCTTCTTCAAATCCGGGGAAGGGGGAGGTGGGGGAGGCTTTGTCTTTGTCTCCGAGGTGGGGGCGGAGGGAGTTGGGGGGGGGGCTCCCGAAGTTTGCGAGAATTCGTGGGGGGGTCCCCTTCACCTTGGTCACTGTTCAAATCTTCTTGGGCAGGAAATCTCGGTGGCGGAATGAATGGAAGGACGACGGAATGAGTGAGTCAACGAACTGAAAATGTAATTACAATGCATGAGGAATTTGTTGGACGAACGATTGAACGGCTGATTGATTTAACTAAAGAACGAGTGAATGATTGATTGTACGGATAATTAAAACGTGTATAACCGAAGGGTTAATCAACCAAATTAGTTATTCGAGGAATGAATAAATGATGGAATTGTAATATTTCTCTGAATGACTGACACTAAATAATGGGTTTGAGCGCACGGTTGATTTAACGAAATAAATACATTATTTTTTGCAATAAGTTATTGATTTAATAATTATCGAATCGTTAAGAGCATTATACCACTCCATCTCCTGCACTGCGGCAGTGAGGGATGGCGACGGCATGTCTTCATCCAGCAGTGGACAGATCACGGCTGATGGCCACGATGATGATGACAATGATGGAGACTCAATCATGGAAAACTAAAACAGTTATGTTTGGGTAAATGATTTAACTTATACGTGACTGAACAACGAATGAATGGCTGGGTGAATACACGATTCAGTGAATGAACAATTACGGAATGATTGAACGAACGAATTCATCAACGCATTCCGCAGTCGGAGGAGAAAGTTCAGCCCGAGGTGGTTCGGGGGGCGGGGGGGGGTGGCGGATCACGAGTTCGCAGGACGCTGGAGTCACGGGCGGGCAGGCAAACAGGCAAGACGCAGGCAGGCAGGCAGGTAGGCAGGCAGGTAAACAGGCAGGCAGACAGGTAGGAGGAGCCAGGGGTGGGTAGGCTGCTGCCACGGGCAGCCCTCACTGCAGCCTGTGCCAGTACTGCGTCAGGTCGGGTTCGCTGCCCGGGACTTGAACGGGCACTGACACCCCCGGCGAGATGAGACCTGGGGAGAGCAGAGACAACAACAGACGAGGTCAACGTCGTCCGCGTTCAGTTTTGATTGGCTGTTGTCGTCATCACGTCTGATGAGTTGTCGTCATCACCGCCATCGTGGTCATCGTGATCATCGTGATCGTCACTCTAAGCAGATTCTTCTTTTTGTCGTACGGGCGGCTGATGTCCACGCAGAGCAGCAATTGCGATCTCACATTCAGGTGGTCAAGCGCAGACAGCCGCGTCACGAGAAGCTGAGTGGTGTGTCGTCACTGTTACGTTTCCTTCTTCGTATTCGTGGATCGGGGCATTGCCTCGCTGTACGTTGCACCACGCTCTCTGTTCTGGATGACCGCAGTCGCACGCCACTACTACTGGATGCGGATGATGATGATGATAATTATCCGCTTCATCGTCAAGCATCGTCCTCAACGTGAACAGGCATCGTAGTCGACGCGGCAAGTTCCTGGGAGACTCAACCGAGACACGTGGGCGGATCAGTCGACAGCCACGCCCACAAAGATTAAGATCCCCCGTATAGCCTGTGACAGACTTTCGGAGCAAGGGCTGTTAGCGAGCAGCACCTATGAAGGCCGGCACGGCACACGAGTGGGTGGGTGGCCAGCACCACGCCCGGCCGCCTTTGTCTCCCGAGTGGCGATGTTTACTACACATCGCACCAGGTACTCATTTGAGGCTGAGTCGACCTAGGGGAAGCCCAGAACCGGTTTCAGATAACGGTCACTGGTGTTGGCCGTGAACGGGAATCGAACTCGGGTCGCCGGGTTTGTATCGCAGCGTAGCGCGCTAATCGCTGCGCCACCGCTCCTGGGAGGGTTATTGATGATGACGTTGTTGTTGTTTACCTGTGGACCCCGCGGGGCCCATGCTCTGGCTGCCCACGTGGTTCTGCACGTGGGGCGGCGTGTAGCCGTCGTAGCTGCGCGCGCTCACGGGGCTCGTGGGGAGCATGCACGAGTAGCCCTGGCTGCCCATGGGCGCCTGGACACACACACGGACACACACACACATACACACACACACGTAAACACACACACGGACACACACACACGTACACACACACACGGACACACACACACGTACACACACACACGGACACACACACACGTGCACACGTAAACACACATACACGGACACACACACGGACACACACGCACACACGCACGCACACACGCACACACACACAACAACAACAACATTCGCCACTAAGTGGCGGTGACGTCACCACGACGCTTGTGCCAGGCTGGCACACACGGACACACAAAGACAAAGATCCACCGTATAGCATTAACATGCTGTAGGGGCAAGTGCTGTTAGCGAGCACCTATGAAGGCAAGAATGGTACACGAGGGGGTGGGTGGCCAGCACCACGCACGACCGCCTTTGTCTCCCCAGTGGCGATGTTTAGACACCGCACTAGGTACTCATTTGAGGCTTAGTCGACCTAGGGGAGGCCCGGGACCGATTCAAATAATCGTCACCGGTGTTGTGCCTTGAGCGGGAATCGAACTCGGGTCGCTGGGTTTATAGCGCGCTAACCGCTACACACCGCTCCCCACACACGGACACACACATACACGGACACACACAAAGATCCCCCGTATAGCCTAAACAGACTGTAGGGGCAAGTGCTGTTAGCGAGCACCTATGAAGGCCGGAACGGTACACGAGGGGGTGGGTGGCCAGCACCACGCCCGACCGCCTTTGTCTCCCTAGTGGCGATGTTTACACACCGCACCAGGTACTCATTTAAGGCTGAGTCGACCTAGGGGAGGCCCAGGACCGGTTCAGATAATCGTCACTGGTGTTAGCCGTGAGCGGGAATCGAACCCGGGTCGCCAGGTTCATAGCGGACACACACACACACACACGGACACACACACAAACACGGACACACAAACACGGACACACACGCACGTATACACACCCTCGTGCGTGCCGAGCCGCCCTTCATAGGTGCTCGCTAAAAGCACTTACCCCAACTTGTCTGTTAAGGCTACACGGGGATCTTTGCCTTTCGCGTGAACTCACCTGCATGGGCAGGTTGTTAGCCATGGAGAAGCTGGGCATAGGTGGCAGGGCGCTGTACGAGTTGCCCAGACCCATGTCCGTCCGACCCAGCATCGCACCTGTGTGGGGTGGGGGGGGGTGGTGAGGAGGTGGTGAGGAGGTGGTGAGGAGGTGGTGGTGGGAAAGGGGTGAGGCAAGGAGGTAGTAAGGAGGTGGGAAGGGGATTTCAACAGACCTCTCCATGCACGCCAGGGACTCACCTGTTCCATTGTCTGCATTTTGCAATCATCGCACGCCGACGACTCTGATCGTGAGGTCTATTGGTGTGTCTAGTAGTGATAGTATGTCTATAATGTCACTTGTGGGTGGTCTACAACATGGGAAAGACGTCGGCGGGTTTCGCCATCATCAGGGATCATCAGCTGACATGGCGATTGCCTCGCCGATTCTTGGCCATGCCAGGGTTCAACCCTCACCTGTAGCTCAGCCTCACCTGTAGCTCAGCCTCACCTGTAGCTCACCCTCACCTGTAGCTCACCCTCACCTGTAGTTCAGCCTCACCTGTAGCTCAGCCTCATCTCTATCCCGCCCCCTCCCTGGATCTGCCTCTGCCGCTCGCTCTGCTCACCAGGGCGCCGCGCTCCTCACATGTAGCTCAGCCTCACCTGTGTACCATCCCCGCCTGTACCTCACCTGTAGCTCAGCCTCACCTGTAGTTCAGCCTCACCTGTAGTTCAACCTCACCTGTAGCTCAACCTCACCTGTAGCTCAGCCTCACCTGTAGCTCAGCCTCACCTGTAGCTCAGCCTCACCTGTAGCTCAGCCTCACCTGTGTACCATCCCCGCCTCTACCTCACCTGTAGCTCAACCTCACCTGTAGCTCAGCCTCACCTGGGTGCATGCCAGGTGCCGTGGGCTGCGGGATGGGCTGATAGACGGTGGCGGAGAAGCTCGAGTTGATGGGAATGTGGCTCGGAGCGTTGCTCGCCTGACGCCTCTGGTTCCGCAGCTTCTCCTCACGTCGCCACTTGGCGCGACGGTTTGAGAACCACACCTGGGGGGGGGGCGGGGGGCCGGGGGGGGGCGGGGGGGCCGGGGGGGGGCATGGGGGTGGGGGGGTTGGAGAGTGACCCAGGGTAGCAGGGAAAGGGGGGGGGGCTGAGCCGGTGGGTTGATTGATCGGACTATCTGATGAGCGAATGAGTGAATAACTGAGTTCGTGTGTTGGTTGATCCGGTCCGTTGATTCATTGGTGGGATGGTTGAATTATTAGGTGATTGTTAAGTTTATTTGGGTGATTATTGATTTATTGATTGGTTGATTGTTTGATGAAGTGATTGGTTGATTGGTAAATTAATGGAATGGTTTATTAATGACATTATTTCTTGGTGGATGGCTCTTAGGGGGGACATTTGGTTGACTGCTTTATTAATTGGTAAATTTCATTGTAGTTTTTTGCAATTTTTTATTCAATCCTGAACTGCAGGAGGAGGAAATTCCACAGCACTATGCCAGGGATCGCTTATATACATTTTTTTAAAGGATAGACGAAAACCTACTTACTGTCATGCCATATACTGCTTCACCTGTAGGCCTGTCACTCATCACTCATCTGTCACTCATCACTCACCTGTCACTCATCACTCATCTGTCACTCATCACCTGTCACTCGTCACCTGTCACTCACCTGGATGCGCGCCTCGGGGAGGTCGATCTTGGATGCGAGTCGCTCACGCGCGAACACGTCCGGGTAGTGAGTCCGCTCGAACTCTGGGCAGGTGAGCAGTGCAGGTGAAGGGTGAGACACAGGTGAGACAGGTGAGGGGTGAGACAGGTCAAAGTGGTACTAATGCTGCTGTTGATGATGATGATGATAATCATGACTGTGCTGCTGCCAATACTGCTGCTGCTGATGATGATTACGATGATGGCGACTCGACTGCTGATGATGCTGATGATGACTGCTGTACCTCCTGCTACTCGCTGAAACTCGTGCCGATGATGACGCCGATGACTGCCGACGATGATTACAATCCAACCGCCGATGCTGATGATCACGATGACTACCGCTGCCGCTCGCTGCCGATGATTACGATCCTGACTGATGACGACGCCACTGATGATCACGACGCTGCTGATGGTGACGACGCCGACCAGGGCTCTCACCTTTCTCGAGGGCCTCGATCTGCTCCTGGGTGAACGAGGTGCGATTGCGCTGCAGCTTCCTCTTCAGCTGGAGCCGCATCTGCGCGTCCTCCGAGTCGTCGCTCGCCGAGTTGCTCAAACTCGTGTCCAGGCTCCCGTCGTGGGACGCGCACCCGTCTGGGGGGGGGGGGGGGGCGGTCACGTGACGTGGGGGGGGGGGGCACGCGGGGGGGTCACACGGTCAGTCGGAAGGTCACGAGCGCCGCGATGGTCCAGTTAGGTCACTGGTTGTACACGGGGTGCCGGGGGAAGCCAGTGCGGGGCCTGTAGCATTTGTTATAAAGGGGCCCTATATAAAAAAAACCACGTAAATATTACAACACAAATGTTTTTAACTTGCATAGTAAAGTAATTGTTTTTTTTTCATTTGCTATACAGACAGATAATACGACAAATCGCTAACCTTAAACACCCAGTCGTTCATAAAAGTTGAAGGCAGTATAGTACTATAATAATAGAGCAAGTGCAGAATCACTGAACTGGAATTGATAGCTTGAAAGCATTTAGCGCCGAGGCCTTGAAAGTGCGGGGCCCGTAGCTACATGTGTAGCTACTTTTGCTTCTACGATAATCCGGCACTTGTTGTACAGGCTAACGACGCCTCTGGTTACGCACAAACCACGGCGGTAGATGCGGATTCCTGATGATGCACAAATTGGTAGGAAAAAAAACTCCAGCAGTGATGGTGCAGCTGCGGTCATCCAGCACAGAACGTCGTGCAACGTGTAACGACGCAATGGCTCCGACCCACAAATACGAAGGGGACACCACAGCGACGCTGCTGCTGACGCCGTGGTCTGGGCATGAGCACCTGGCTGTCAAATCGCAGTCGTTGTTCTGCGTCCACATCAGCAGGCCGCACGACAACAAGAAGAAGACCGGTTGGGAAGTACTACCATTAACACATTGTCCTGCGGAGGGAGCTGGCAGGAACGTTGGGTTGCTCGGTCAATGGCCAGGGTCAACGGCGGCGTGCTGTATTCCGCAAATATGCCCGACTGTGAGGGCGGGCACAAGCCGGCGTGAGTAGGTTAAACGTTGAGTTTTATAAGGGCACCACGGGGTGACCAGCCCCTCCCCACCCAGCCCCACCCCTCCCACCCCCCACCCAGCCCCACCCTCCCCACCCAGCCCCTCCCCACCCTCCCCACTCCACCCAGCCCCTCCCCACCCTCCCCACCTCACCCAGCCCCTCCTCACCCGCCCCTCTCCACCCAGCCCTACCCCTCCCATTTGTGGATGCACGACGGACGGACGGACACAATAATCCCCTGTGGGCTGGTGTAACCAGGAGGTTCCTACCAGTATTATTGTGAGTACCACGCCTGTTTACCCATTACAGCTGTTATATAGAACAACGAGTGTATTATTATTGTTGTTGTGATTATTAAGCCTCACTGAGTCTCAAGACTCTTTTCCAAGAGGGTCCTGCCAGGCTTTCGTAGTACGTGGGTTGGTGATGTTGCCGCTGATGCTGCTGCGTGTTAACCCATCTGAGTAATTTGCGTTGCGATGCTGTCATCATGTTTTGGCTCATAGCAGTCACAAGGTATGGTTTTGTTTTTCAAGTTACAGGAGGAAACCCATGCAGATCAAGTTTAGATCATAGACATTTCTGCTCCGATTTGAAGTTTCCGTGACTGCAAGGATCCATACTCTTTGGTTCTTTCGGTAAAGTCACGTCGGTGAAAAAATTAATTTTTTTAAAAAATTATATAAAAAGAAATAAATTAAATCACGACGTTTCGGGCGCAACACAAGCGCCCGTCATCAGGTGTTGCGCCCGAAACGTCGTGATTAAATGTATTTATTTTTATTTTATTTTTGTCACCTACGTGACTTTACCGAAAGAACCAAAGAGTATTTCTGCTCAGCCCGAGCTACTAATTAATAACTGGTATTGTGCTTGTGCTGTTCGCCGTTTCGCGTTGTTCCCTGGTCTACCAATACTGGTGGCTGTCTCTGGTGTAGGCCAATCGGTGCCAAGAACAATGCATGCCTTGTTATCATCAACGCACGGTTTGTATGCGTGTTGAACTTCTTTCGCACCGTACATAGCCGACTGTGCTAATGTGTGGCTTAACGCAGACTCGACGCCTTGCAAGAGGCGTCCACTGGGCGTTTGAACATCTGAACGCCCCCAGTGTTGTGGCCGGGAAGGGCAAAGCCGATTGATCACCTTGATACCGGCAAACCGGTTCCCGTAGCTTCTCTCCGTTGGTGTAGTCAGTTGGAACATTCCGAAGAAAGCCCGTGCAGAACAGGGGGAGACCAACTCCAGAACGACCCCCCCGGATAGCCGTCAACAGGCAGGAGGGGAAAGTGCGGTTCGAGAGTGCCGATGAACGCCGGCACCACGCCCGGCCGCCTTTGTCTCCCCAGTGGCGATTGTTTACACACCGCGCCAGGTACTCAGTTAAGGCTCAGCCCACCTAGGGTTCGCCGGGTGTACGTAGCGCAATGCGTTGCCCACTACACTACCACTGCTCACAGCCATAGCCAGCACCACGAAACGCACATGACACCTGAGAGACAAAAGCGTCCCTAGGGCACAAGACAAATCGTGGCGATCGCCCCGGGCCCCGCGCTGTGAGGGGGGGGGCGCTTAGACGTCACAGTGTCAGATGTAATACTTCCGATTTAATTTGACGGCGTCGGGGGACCCACGTGGTGGGGTTTGCCCCGGGCCTCGCACCCCCCCCCCCCCCATGGACGGGCCTGGCGACAGCCACACGCGGAGACGGCCCCATCACCACCACAGTCCCCCTCCACCCACTCCCCTCCACCCCACCCCACTCCACCCACTCCCCTCCACTCCACCCCTCCACTCCCTCCACCCCTCCCATTCCCTCCTCCCCTGCCCCTCCCCTCTCCTCCACTCCCATCCGTTCCCCTCCACTCCACTCCCATCCTTTCCCCTCCACTCCACCCCCTCCACCCACTCCCCTCCACCCCACCCCACTCCACCCACTCCCCTCCACTCACACCCCCTCCCCTGCCCCTCTCCTCCACTCCCCGCCCCTCCCCTCCCCTGCCTCTCCCCTCCCCTCCTCCCCTGCCCCTCCCAAACCCTCGTGTCGCCATGGCGCGTGTTGCCAGGTGACTGGTGAGAGTGGAGGTGTGAGTGAGTGAGTGTGGACTGGGTGGGTGGTGGTGGTGGCGGTGGTCGTGGTGGAAGCGGCTGTGGTGACTGCAGGGGGTGGGGGCCACCCTGACACCCGGGGGGGGCACCCTGACACCCGGGGGGGGCACCCTGACACCCGGGGGGGGGGCCACCCTGACACCCGGGGGGGGGGGTGGGGGGTGCCACCCTAACGCCCGCGAGCCGCCCACCATCGCGACGAGACGAGGATGCAACTCCGCGGAGTCGATCAGCGGCGTCGCACCTACGGCAATGAGCCTCGCTGCGAGGAAATTCAAACGGGGGGGGGGGGGGGCTGGGCAATGTTGCCCCCCCCCCGCTACCCCCCCCCCGCTACCCCCCCCCCCCACCACCACCACGATCTTCATAGCCCGGGTCTATGAAGATTGAGGCCACCCTACCCCCTCCCGTACCGTGCCAGCCTCCATCGGTGCTCGCGAACAGCACTTGCCCCAAAAGTATGTTGAGGCTATACGTTGGAGATCTTTGTCTTTGCGTGGCTATATATTTTTTTATATTTGCTCGTTTGTTTATTTATACTGGCCAGGGTTGGCGGATCATGGAGAGATTCGTGTGAGAACTCTCCACCACTCGCCCGTGCTGCAACTGTGTTTCACTGCTTTCTCTCGTCCCCTCTGATCCCCATCCCTCTCCCCTTGCCCTCCCCTTGCCCTCCCCTTGCCCTCCCCTTGCCCTCCCCTTCACTCACTCAGTAGGTCAGCCGCCTGACGAGCCACCCCGGAACGAACGTCCCCAGGGTACACGGCGAATCGGGGCGATCGCCCTGGGCCCCGCACTTAGGGGGGGGGGGGGTGAGGCACTCGCTTCGTCGTCACGATGTCAAATGTAATACTTCTGGTTTAGTTCGCAGGCGTGGGAGGTTACCATGGGAGTCCAGTTTACTATGGGAGTCCAGTTTACCATACACGTCATTATCTCCCCAGTGGGGATGTTTACGCACCGCCCCAGGTACTAATTTGAGGCTGAGTCGACCTAGGGGAGGCCCCAGGACCGGCTCAATTAATCGTCACCGGTGTTGGCCGTGAGCGGGAATCGAACCCGGGTCGCCAGGTTCGTAGCGCAGTGTAGCGCTCCCCACTGCACCGCCGCTAATAAACACACACACGCACAGTCACGTGCGTCACCCTGTCTCCTGATCCCCTCGTGCCTTCTACCTCATCAAAACTCACCCACCCCCTCCTCTGCCTCCCTCCCCTGCCTCCCTCCCCGTCCCCCCCGTCCCCGTCCCCTCCCCCAAATCCCCGTCGCTTCAACATCCCCCCCTCGCTCGGCACCACGCTTCCAAACACGCCGAATCTGCGGGGTGTGCGTCTGTCCCCCAAGACCCCCTCCAGCGAGTACACCGGGGGTCTCGGTGCGCCCCCCGGGCGAAGGGGGAGCAATGGTGGGGGGGGGGAGGTTGGCAGAGAGGGGTCGAGGAGATGGTGGGGGGAATTAAGAGGGGGGGGGGGGGGTGACGCTACATGCGGAGTCATTAGAGAGCCGCCTCTGGGTGCTGCGTGGATTCGCAGCGCTAATTACCTCTGCGAGACAGCAAGCCCCATCGGACACACACACGCGTGTACGTGCACACGTACACACACACACACTTGTACACACACACACACACGTGTGTGTACACTTGTACACACACACACTTGTACACACACACCTGCAGATATACACACACTTGTGTACATCTAGACACTACAACGATAAAGGTCCCACCCCCCGTATAGCGTTCGACAGAGTGTTGGCCCAAGTAGAGGCGCGCCTACGGTACACACGATGTCGTGGGTGGTCCACACCACGCCCGGTCGCCTTTGTCTCTCCAGTGTTGATGTTTGTCGCAGCAGGTACTCATTTAAGGTTGAGTCGACCTTGGGGAGGTCCATGACCAGTTCAAATAATCACCACGGCTGTTAGATGACCGTGAGCAGGAATCGAACTCGCCGGGTTCGTAGCGCGGCACGCTAACCGCTACGCCACCGCTCCCAACAGGCACACACAGACACACGCCTGACGTACACCTGCACACGCCCAAGGGCTCGGAGCGTCGTACCTGGGGATTTACAGTGAAGCGCGCACCTTTGGGAACGCACCTGGCAGATACACGACGCACGCCGACTCCGAACACACACGCACGTAAACATATACAGAACAAAGACAAAGATCCCCCCTATAGCCTCACCATACGTTTTGGGGCAAGTGCTGTTCGCGAGCACAAATGAAGCCTGGCACGGCACACACGAGGGGGTGGGTGGCCAGTGCCACGCCCCGGCCGCTTTGTCTCCCTAGTGACGGTGCAATGTGAGTACTCGTTAGAGGCTGAGTCGACCTAGGGGAGTCCCGATACACTAAACTAAAACTATAAAAAAATATTTTTATTTTTCCATGTAATTCGTTTTGGGACGCGACCTGGCAATCACAAATGATAGCTCGACGTCGGGGTGGCCAATCATCATCATCGCGTGGGAATTTTTGTTTTAATAGCAGCAGCCAAATCCTCTGAACGCGTTGATTCTAAATGTGGAGGGGGAATGCCCCGGAGGAGTCAGCCAGTACCTTGTATCGCTTTGCTCAAATCATTTTGCTCCGATCTGGCACCACATAACGTGCATCGAGGAAGAGCCGTTCCCTGGCTCGCCAGGAGAAGGCGGAACAGCAAAGTGCGGACTAATCACCGTCTGTTTCCATCTGTACGGGGATGTAGCGTTACCGCCCCACCCCCCTCGCGCAAGGCGCGTGTTTTCCTCCGGGTGGACCGCCTTTGTCTCCCCAGTGGCGATGTTTTACACACAGCACCCGGTACTCATTTGAGGTTGAGTCGACCTAGGGGAGGCCCAGGACCGATTCAGATAATCGTAACTGGGTGTTTGGTGGCAATGAGCGGGAATCGAACTCGGGTCGCCGGGTTCGTAGCGCAGCACGCTAACCGTTGTACCACCGCTCCACACCCCATCTCCGATTTGCACGGTTGGCTACGTACGGTGCAAACGAAGTTCAACTTACATACATCTCCCTTCCTCCCCACGTGACCCCCCTCCATCTCCACCTGGCCCCTCCTCCTCCCCGATAACCTCCCCCCCCCCACCTGAACCCTCTTCCTCCCCCATCTCCCCTCGACCCACGTCTCCCCCCTCCCCCCCCAACATTAACTTGATCACCCCCCCCCTCTCCCCCACCACACCACACCTGATCCCCCCCCCACTCCCTCCTATCCACCTCTCCCCTCACCAAAACACACCTGATCACTCCCCCCCCCCTCCCTCACCCCCCCTCTCCCCCACCCCTCTCCCCCACCCCACCACTCCCCCCCCTCTCACCAACACACACCTGATCACTCCCCCCCCCTCTCCCTCACCCCCCCTCTCCCCCACCCCTCTCCCCCACCCCACCACTCCCCCCCTCTCACCACACACCCTGATCACTCCCCCCCCTCCCTCACCCCCCCTCTCCCCACCCCTCTCCCCCACCCCACCACTCCCCCTCCCTCTCACCAACACACACCTGATCACTCCCCCCCCTTTCCCTCACCCCACCACACCTGATTCCCCCCCTCTCACCAACACATCTGATCACTCCTCCCCAACCCCCCTCTCCCCCCCTCTCCCCCCCCCTCTCCCCCACCACCCCACCTCTCCCCCACCCCCTCCCCTCCCTCCCCCCCCACACCCCCCCACACCCCCCACACCCCCCCCCCCCACCACCCACCTGGCCCCTGCTGTCCCGGGAGAGCCGCGCCCGGGTACCACCCGGGCCGGGCTCCCCAGCCGGCCCCAGGCTGCTGCTGCTGCTGCCCGTTGAGCATGCGCAGTTTGTCGTAGACGCCCTCCGCTCCCATGGGCTGCTTCTCGCTCGCCAGGTTGCGCAGCACGCGGTTTATGGACGACACCTGGGGGGGTGGGGGGGGCAGAGCAGGGATGTGGGGAGGGGGTTGTCAGGTGTGGGTGGGGAGTGTTTGGTGTGTGGGGGAGCGGTGGTGCAGCGGTTAGCGCGCTGCGCTACGAACCTGGCGACCCGGGTTCGATTATCCGCTCGCGGCCAACACCGGTGATGATTATCTGAAACCGGACCTGGGCCTCCCCTAGGTCGACTTAGCCTCAAATAAGTACCTGGCGCGGTGTGTAAACATCGCCATTGGGGAGACAAAGGCGGTCGGGCGTGGTGCTTGCCACCCACCCCATCGTATACCGTTCCGGCCTTCATATGTGCTGCTCGCTAACAGCACTTGCCCCTACAGTCTGTTAAGGCTATACGGGGATCTTTGTATTTGCTTTTTGTGATATGGGGTGTGTGTGAGTGAGGCATAGGCGTGCGAATTCGGTGTGTGTGTGCATTTTAGGAGAGTCCAGGTGTGTGCAGGTGTGTGCGTGAGTGCAGGTGCGTGCGTGAGTGCAGGTGCGTGCGTGAGTGCAGGTCCGTGCATGGGCGTGTGATGATGACATCGGGAGAGAGTGGAGGAGTCGGAAGGTGGATGGAGAAAAGCATAAATCACTCACTCCACTCAATTATTCAAACCAACATTTTTTTTTGTTCCCAGCTTTTGGCAAAGTGCACGAACGCTGTCACCGTAATTCAAATAAAAATATACGATTTATTTTTTCTTCCGATGGCCGCGCTACGTCCGCTCAGCTGTTACTTCAATTGCGGAACAGAGGGCCTTCGAGGAGGGCTACACCGCCTCCGGGTTAATCCGGTCCCCTGTCCGCACTCCACTGTGGATGGGCCGTCGGTCGCGACCACCCCTGTGCATCGGCTGCGGTGCGTGGTCTCCAGGAGAGCCTGGCTCTTGGGACTGCGTGGGGACGTTTGGTCGATTCCTCTGCGAAATGGCAGTGCCCGGCACGCCCCGTGCAATGTCGCCGCGGTGACCAGGAGATGTTAACTACCTCGCCTGGTCTACAGGAAGTCGTGGGTTCGAACCCGGCTCTGACGCCTGCTGTGTATTTGGAGTTTGCGTGTCTCTCTCTCTCTCATCATCATCACGATGGCCAGGAGATGTTAACAACCTCACCTGGTCTACAGGAGGGCGTGGGTTCGATCTCGACCCTGAAGCCTGCTGTATATTTGGAGTTTGCGGTGTCTCTCTCTCTATCTCCACGTGGTCGCGTGGATTTTTCCCCGGGCTTCCGATTTTTCCCCTCCAAATTTAGAATCAACATCACGCGTTCAGAATATTTGTCTGCTATAAATGTCCACGTGACAAGCCACTTCGTCGTGCTATCATTTGTGGCCAGGTCGCTTCTCAAAAAGGGCTACATGGCTCGGTGGGCCTCACCTGCTACAATAAAAATAGTTTAAGAGTTAAAACTTCTCTACAAAGCGCCTCCTTCCCATATTAGGACACTACGGGGAGCCATGAACTTCTAACTCACCCAGATTGAAAACGTATTTCTTTAGAACATCTTTCTGTGATGAGTTTGTTGGCATCCCCCCCAACCGTCCTCACCTCCGATGAGAACGGTTGGCTACGTACGGTGCGGAAGAAGTTCAACAAAGTACAACAACAACAGCATCAACAACAACATCGTCGTCGTCATCACCACGATGTGCTCAGCTGGTTGCTTGCAGGGAGAATAAAACGCAGTCCCCGTGGCGACAGCACATGGGGAAGGCGAGTGGAGTGGACAATGTAGCGCATGGAGCCGCCCATATAAATCCACTGCTGGATGAACACCCCCCCCGCACCACCCACGCCACGTGGGCGATTTTTGGTCTTAACTTTTAACCATACTTCACCACGTTGGTTCTACAGGGAGGGGGGGGGAGGAGGCGTTCATGGGGGTACCGTCTCCCCCCTGGCTCCCCTACTCTAGGGGTGGCCACTGCTCCGTCTGTACTGCATTGCGTGTATGTACGTACGGTGAACTTCGTTCGCACCGTACGTAACTAACCGAGTGGTGTTGCACCCCCTCGTGACGCGGCGGGGGGCGGGGGGGGGGGGCACCGCCCACGGGGAAGTATGGGAGCGGGCGTGAGAGTTGCAAACAACAACAACAAACAAACTCGTGATGTCGGCTCACTGACGTTCGCATTCATTTGCCCCGCACGGGATTTCAATCCGCATTCGTTTATTTGTTTGTTTGTAACCGCGGCGGTGGTGCAGCTGCGGTCACCGCTCGTCGCTGTTGCTCACCCTACCACTCACCCCCTCACTCACCCTACCACTCACCCACTCACTCACTCACCCTACCACTCACCCACTCACTCACCAACCAACTCACTCACCCATCCACCCACCAATTCACTCAACCTACCACTCACCCATTCACTCACCCTACCACTCACCCACCCACTCACTCACCCTACCACTCACCCACTCACTCACCAACCAACTCACTCACCCATCCACCCACCAATTCACTCAACCTACCACTCACCCATTCACTCACCCTACCACTCACCCACTCACTCACCCTACCACTCACCAACCAACTCACTCACTCATCCACCCACCAACTCACCCACTCCCCCACACACACACCAACTCACATCACCCTACCAGCGACCGAAGAAGCCTTTCATTATTAAATTCGTGTTCTTATTTTCCTCTTCGTTCGATCGCCGGGCGCACTTAACGCATCCCCTCCTGCTCCCTCCCCTGCCTCCCCGTCATCCCCTGTCCCCCCGAACGCACCTCACCCCCCTCCCATTCTACCCCTCCCCTCCAGCCCCCTCCACCCCCCTCTACCTCCACCTCCACGTCCCCGCTCGGCCCGGCACGTGACACTAATGTGTCCCGACAGCCCACGCACATGTGCTCGGGTACGCGGCCTCGTGATGCGAGCATTAATGTGTTTTTTATCGAGGTAATATATTTTTTTAGATCAAGTGGAATGGGGAGATGGTGGGGGGGGGGGGGGGATAAGGGGCGGGGAGTTGGGTGGGGGGGGAGATGCACAGAATTTATTCTTATTTTCATTATCATCATTAATAGCTTATTGACTCTTAAATATTTAGCGTTGCTCTTTATTGAGCAGTCGAGGCGGATTATTCCGCGCAAAGAAACAGCGCGTCGAGCCGACAGAGCGGCCGCGATGCCACAGTCACCAAAGACAAAGGTCCCCCGTGTAGCCTGCACAGAATGTTGGGGGCAAGTGCTGTTGGCGAGCAGCGCCTATGAAGGCCGGCACGGCACACGAGGGGGTGGGGGGGAGGGGGGGCAGTGCCAAGCCCGGCCGCCTTTGTCTTCCACGTGGCGACGTTTACACAGCACACCAGGTGCTCAGTGTACGTGGGGCAGGGCCCCAGGACCAGTTCAGATAATCGTCACGGATGTTGGCCGTGAGCGGGAATAAAACTCGGGTCTCCGGGGTTCGTAGCGCAGCGTAGCGCTAACCGCTCACAACGAATATGTGGGGTCAGATGGGGGAAGTAAAACAGCAATGTGTGTCGTACACCCTCCTCCACCCGACGCAGCCACTTAGTCGAGCTCTCAACAAGCGCACAAACGTGACGATGTAACGATAAAATTTCGATTTAAAGCTTTCGTGACTGCAGGGATTCATCTTCTTGGTTCTTTCGGTAAAGTCACGTAGAAAGGAAGTAATAAAATAATAAAAATAAAACATAATAAAATAATTCTCACGACGTTTCGGCCACAACGCAAGCAGCCGTCCTCAGGTATTTGTGTTTTATTTTCATTATTTTACTACTTCCCTTCTACGTGACTTTACCGAAAGAACCAAGAAGATGATGTAACGATTGTTAAACGTGCCTGTCGACTGCTCTCCGTCACCGGCACGCTCGTTTCACCACGGTGCCAACTCTGCTACAGCCGGCTGTGTGTCGGGTGGTGAAAGGGTTTACGACACACAATGTTTCGTTCGCGGCGATCTGACCTCACCTCCCTCCCCCATTCGACCTCCGCCACGAATCAATAATTAATTGAAGTATTGCTCGCGATATCAACCCGGCGCATGCGTTCTGAAGCCCTGCCGACGGCGTGGGGAGTCCCGGTGGAATCTTCCACGCTCACCGGATGTACAGAATCGGAATGTCGATTCATAGTGGAGGAATCGGATGAGCTGTAAAGCTCTTTATTCATTACTTTTTTATTCAACAGACGTCCAGCGAATGTAGCTACCCAAGTTGGCATCGACAACAGTGACAGCCGTTGCGTTACTAAAGAAAATGAAAACAAAAATCATCAACACGGAGGCCTGCTTTGTCAAGCATCTACCGCTGGATGAGTGCCTCTTCCATGCCAGGGTATAGGCCATGAGCATTGCCTGGCCTTCCTTCATCACGCAGGGCAGACACGCGCGTGTCTGCGGGGCATGACAGACACACGTGATGTCGTTTGTTGTCCTTCCCCCGCACCTCCGATTAGCAAGGTTGGCTAGATACGGTGAGAATTAAGTTCAACGCACATTTGTCCTTCATGATCATCCGACCAACAGGACCCAGGTACCTCCTCACCCACCCACCCACCCACGCCCCGTCCCTCGGGGTACACAGATCGATTGAGACGAGAAACGTCTCTGTGTGCGCGTGCGCATCTCTCTGTACATTGTCTCTGTATAACCTTGCGTCCGCGTCTGTCTCTGTCTGTGTCTATCTGCGTCTCTGTGAACTCCCCCACCCACGCCAGAGTCCTCCACTCACGCTGGGGGATAATGTCGCTGGTGTGCAACGCTCACCCACCCACCCACTCGCTCGCCCACCCGCCCATTCACTCACCCACCCATTCGCTCACCCACTCGCTCACCCACCCACTCACTCACCCACCCGCCCATTCACTCACCCACCCATTCGCTCGTCCACTCACCCACTCGCTCGTCCACCCACCCACTCGCTCACTCACCCACCCACTCGTTCACCCACCCACTCGCTCACCCACCCGCCCATTCACTCACCCACTCGCTCGCCCCCCCACTCACTCGCTCACCCACTCGCTCACCCACCCACCCGCTCACCCACCCACCCATTCGCTCGTCCACCCACCCACTCGCTCACCCACCCACCTACTTACTCGCTCGCCCCCCACTCACTCGCTCACCCACTCGCTCACCCACCCACCCATTCGCTCGTCCACCCACCCACTCGCTCACCCACCCACTCACTCACTCGCTCGCCCGCCCACCCACCCATTCGCCCGTCCATCCACTCGCTCGCCCACCCGCTCACTCACCCATTCACTCGCTCGCTCACCTACCCACTCGCTCACCCAGTGAATTTATTTTCCCCTCCCCCTCCCCCCACTCACACTGGAGATGTTGTCGCTGGTGCACACCTCCCCGCACCCCTCCCCCCACCCCTCCCCTCACCCCTCCCCTCCCCCACCCCTCCCCCCACCCCTCCCCCACACCTCCCCCCACCCCTCCCCCCACCACTCACGCTGGGGATGTTGTCGCTGGTGCAGGCGCCCTCGGAGAGGAGACGGTCGCGGATCTCCCACGCGAAGATGGAGGGGCACTCCCGCTTGTACTGCGCGATCTTCCCCACCACCTCGGGCGTGGCCACGCGCGGCTTGCTGCCGCCGATGGCTCGCGGGCGGATGGAGCCCGTCTCGTAGTAGCGGCCCAGGATCTTGCTCACGCAGCCGTTAGACACCTGCGGTGGTGGTGGTGGGTGGTGGTGGTGGGTGGTGGTGGGGAAACGAAGGGTGTGGTTTTTTTTTTGGGTGCAGCTACGACAGCGCAGTCGCCTGGTAAGTGCATCACGGTGCAGACGACAGGTGAGATGCACCGGCCATTTGTCCACTGGTAACCAGGGTTACAGGTGACCAGCGCACACGTGACCTGTCCACAGGTGGCCAGACCACACGTGACCTGTCCACAGGTGACCAGTGCACACGTGACCTGTCCACAGGTGACCAGTGCACACGTGACCTGTCCACAGGTGGCCAGACCACACGTGACCTGTCCACACGTGACCAGTCCACACGTGACCAGTCCACAGGTGACCTGTGCACACGTGACCTGTCCACACGTGACCAGACCACACGTGACCTGTCCACAGGTGACCAGTACACACGTGACCAGTCCACAGGTGACCAGTACACACGTGACCTGTCCACATGTGACCAGACTACACGTGACCTGTCCACAGGTGGCCAGACCACACGTGACCTGTCCACAGGTGACCAGTGCACACGTGACCTGTCCACATGTGACCAGACTACACGTGACCTGTCCACAGGTGACCAGTGCACACGTGACCAGTCCACTGGACTAAGCCATTGTGTTTCCGGATACAAATTCGCTAAATTCGAAAATCACGCCGCTTAACGACTCGATTTGGATCACAAAGACAAAGGTCCCCCGTATCGCCTCAACAGACTATTGGGCCAAGTGCCGTTAGCGAGCAGCAGCACCTATGAATGTCGGCACGGCACACGAGGTAGGTGGGTGGCCAGCACCACGCCCGGCCGCCTTTGTCTCCCCAGTGGCGATGTTTACTACACAGCAGCAGCAGATATCGCCCCCTACCGCCAAAACAAACTTTGAGAAACTTGAACCCTGAAAATTGTCGCTTGAAGTTCAATGACTGCCACTCCATACCGTGATCGTCACGAATAATTGAAACACCACAAATGATGATGATCATCACCACCGCCACCGTCACTAATGACGTATGCACATCATCACCATCACTTATGATGTATCCACCAAACATCATCAGCACTAACAGTCGCCAACATCATCATCAATTTACCCACCAATTCTCAACATCACGGGTTACTTATCCAGCGAAGATCGTCATCACTATCTCGCAAACATCATCATCATCATCGTCAATTCATCCACCTCACATCATCAACATATTTTTTCAATAACGTATTCTTCTACTTCTTCCTATCCGCATCCGTAAAACCTTCACCATCCTCACGCTTTCCCTTCACCAACCTCGCCAGCCATCCCTTCCCCTCTCATCGCCCTCCCTTGCCATCCCCTCCCCTCCCCACACACTCAACCCCCATCGCTTTCCCCCCATCAGCCAATAACCAATGCACGACGATTCAGAACGGCCAATAACTCACGCACAAAATGATTAATTCTTGTAGAGCGCTTTGACCAGAAGCGCTGTGAGTGAGTGTGTGTCTATAATAAAAGCGCCGGACAAGATTCTGATGCTTCTCATGAACTGGCCTCTCGACGCGAGTCTCGCCGAGGGTCGTTATTTATAATGAACCCGGCGCACGTGGCGTCCTCCGGCCCTGCCCCGCCTCCCACCTCGCCAGGGCAAGGGGATAATCAGACGCGAGGGGATCAACACAACCCCGCCTCGAGCCCACCCTCAACTCCACCACCACTCCACTACCACAACCACAACGACCACCACCACTCCACTACCACAACCACTACTACCACCAACCACAACCACCACCAACACTCGGCTCAACTACAATAACCACGACTCCACTGCCACCACCACTCAGCTACCACCACCACTCCACTACGACCTTCACCACTCCACTCAACGACCACCACCACGCCATTGCCGCCACCACTACCACCACCCTCAACTCCACCACCACCACTCCGCTACCACCACTACCACCACCACTCTGCTCAACTACAATCAACACCACTCCACTACCACCACCACCATTCTCAACTACAATCAATACCACTCCACCACCACCATTCTGCTCAACTACAATCAACACCACTCCACCACCACTCTGCTCAACTACAATCAACACCACTCCACTGCCACCACCACTCAGTTTCCACCACCACTCCACTAAAACCACCACTCCGCTCAACTACACTGTATAACAATAATAGTTTTGTTTCTGGGTAGTAAGTGTTCTTTCCTAATTGCTTATGCCTCAAAAGTACAGAAAATTGAGATTATTCCCCACAAACATTGCTTTTTTGACCAGGACAGTGATATTTTGAAATGTACCTATTTTGAATGAGAAAACGGGCAAATTTGTGTCTTTTCGTTCACATAAATTCAGAAAAAAACTATATATGAATCAAAATTAACATGTATTTATACTAAAGTAATACAAAAATGACTACAGAATATTTAGACACCAAGGCACACTACCACAGGCGGGACTGGCCACAGTGGACCGAGTTCTCTGTGGGGAGGAACAACGTCAAGTGGGAGCCACTGGTGGACCCCCGGAAGGTGCTGATGCCACCACTGCACATCAAATTGGGCCTTATTAAACAATCTGTTAGAGCTGTAGATAAGAAGTCGGCAGCCTTCAAGTACCTTCAAGACTTCTTCCCTAAGCTGTCTGAGGCAAAGGTCAAAGCCGGTGTCTTCGTCATACCACAGATGAAGAAGATCCTGGAGTGCAAAATGAATTCCCCAAGAAGCTCACTAGTAAGGAGAAAGCGGCTTGGAACAGCTTTGTCGCAGTGGTTCGTGGCTTCCTGGGCAATCACAATGTCGAAAACTATGTGGAGCTGGTTGAGACTGGTGAAGAATTACGGCACAATGGGCTGTAGGATGTCCCTCAAAAGTCCATTTCCTTGATGTTAATCTTGATAAATTCAAGGATAACATGGGAGCGTACACGGAGGAGCAAGGCGAGCGCTTCCACCAGGATATACTGGACTTTGAACGCCGCTACCAAGGACAGTATATGGAGAACATGATGGGAGACTACATTTCGGGACGGATTAGTGAAAGTGATTTACAGTATAATCGTAAATCTCGAAAAACTACTCACTTCCAAATCTTTTGTAGTAATTTTTTACTACTTTAGTATAAGTACATGTTATTTTGTATTCATATGTTTTTTTTATGACTTTATGTGAATAAAAAGACACAAATTCGCCCTTGTTCTCATTTAAAATTGGTAAATTTCAAAATATCACTGTCCTGGTCACAAAAGCCAAGTTTGTGGGGAATAATAGCCATTTTCTGTACTTTTGAGGCATAAGCAATTACGAAATAACACTGACTTCCCAGGAACAAAAATTGTGTTACATCGTGCTTTCATCACTACCACATGCCACTGCCACCTCCACTACCACCACCACTCCACAACCAACCACCCTCACTACACTACCACAACCCTCCATTACCACCACTTAACTGCCACCACCACCCCACTACCTCCACCATTACTCAACTACCTTTCATTAGTACCAATTATGGTTTCCAAATTATTGATTTGATAACGATTGTGCTGATTAGGCAGGAGTATCTGCCGTGGTGGTGTTGGCTTTGGTGGTTGTTGTGGTGCGGGGAGCAGCAGTGTAGCGCTATGCTGCGCTACAAACCCGGCGACCCCAGTTACGATTATCTGAACTGGTCCTGGGCCTCCGCTAGGTCGACTCAGCCTCAGATGAGTACCTGGTGTGGTTGTGTGTAAACATCGCCACTAGGGAGACAAAGGCGGCCGGGCGTGGTACTGGCCACCCACCCTCCTGTGTGCCGTGCCAAGCTTCACAGATGCTCGCTAACAGCACTTGCCCCAAAAAATCTGTTGACGCCATACGGGGGTTCTTTGTCTTTGGTGGTGTATGTACGTATGTAGAACTCCTTTCGCACCGTACGTAGCCAACTGTACTAATCGAAGGTGCGGGGGAAGGACAGCAATCTAAACACACAAAAAGAACCGTTCTAAAGAAGTGAGGTTTCAATCTCGATGATTTAAAGTGCATAGCTCCAGTGGCTTCTTGTTAGTGATGGTGGCGGAGTTATCGATGGTGGTGTAATTCCTGTCCGTAGTAAAGTTGTTGTTGGTTGTGGTAGTTGATGGAGCTGCTGCTGCTGGTGGTGGCGTTGCTGTAGTCGCTACCGGTTGGTGTGGAGTTGGAGGAGGTGGTGGTGGTGTAGTTATTGGGGGTGGAGTTGACGGTGGAGGTAGTGGTGGTGATAGTGATGGTGATGGTGGGGATGATGGTGGAGTTGGTGGTAGTGGAGATGATGGTATATTTTATGGAGGGGGAGTTGGTGGTGGTGATAGTGGTGAAGGTGGTGGTGGTGATAGTGGTGATAGTGGTGGTGATAGTGGTGGGTTTGGTGGTGGTCGTAGTTGCTGTTGTCTGTTCTCGGCGATGATTATGTTGCGGTGTTTGTGGTGATGCTGGTGTTGCTGGAGATGGGAGATACTGGTGGAGTTGGTGGTGGTGGTGAAGACGATAATGATGGTGGTGGTAGTGGTGGAGTTAGTATTGGTGATAGTGGTGGTGTAGGTGATGGTGGTGGTAGTGGATGTGATGATGGTGGAGGTGGTTTTGGTGGAGTTGGTGATGGAGGTGATAGTGTAGTTGGTGGTGGTGGTTGTGGAAGTAATAATGATGGAGCTGATTGTGGAGGTGATGATGGTGGAGGTGATGATGGTGGAAGTGATGGTGGCAGTTGGTGATGGTAGTGGAGGTGATGGTGGAGTTGGTGGTGGTGGGGTTGGTGGTGGTGGTAATGGTGTGGTTGGTCCTGGTGGTAGTAATGGTGGGGTTGTTCCTGGTGGTGGTAGTGGAGGTGATGGTGGAGTTGGTGGTGATGATAGTGGTGGGGTTGGTGGTGGTGGTGGTGGTGGGGTTAGTGGTGGTGGTGGTGGTGGGGGGTTGGTGGTGGTAGTGGTGGGCTTTGTGGTGGTGGTAGTGGTGGTGGTGGGGTTGGTGGTGGTGGTAGTGGTGCTGGTGGTGGTGGGATTGGTGGTGGTGGTAGTGGTGGTGGTAGTAGTGGTGATAGTGGTGCTGGTGGTGGTGATAGTGGTGGGTTTGTTGGTGCTCGGGGCCGAGGCGGCGCTCGCCTGCAGGATGCGCGAGATGTCGCAGGGCCGCGCGCCGCTGTGCGCTAGCTCCACGATCTTCTGGCGCGTGGAGTCGGGGAGCGGCCGCCCGTTCACGAACACCCCGCCCAGCTGGTTCACGCCGCTGTGGCCTGGCGGGGGCACGGGGACACGGGGGCACGGGGGCATGGGGACACGCGGGCACGGGGACACGGAGGCACGGGGACACGGGGATAAGAGGAGACACGGAGACACGGGGGCACGGGACACGCGGACACGGAGACAAGGGGACACGGAGACACGGAGACACGGGGACACGGGGACACGCGGACACGGGGACACGGGGATAAGAGGAGACATGGGGACACGGGGACACGCGGGCACGGGGACACGGGGACACGGGGATAAGAGGAGACACGGGGACACGGGGATAAGAGGAGACACGGAGACACGGGGACACGGGGACACGGGGACACGGGGACACGGGGATAAGAGGAGACACGGGGACACGGGGACACGGGGGCACCATGGGGATATGAGACACCGGGATAGAAAACACGTGGACACGGGAATATGAGACACGGGGATAGGAGACAAAGGGATATGGAGACACGGAGATAAAAAGATGTGGACAAGGGGACACGGAGGAATGGGGACACGCACGGTAAGACACAAGCGGACGGAGAGATAAAAAGACGCAGATACAGAGAGACACGGACACACACGTAGAGACAGAAACATCCAGGCGGACACAGACACGTGTGGACACGGACAGACGGGGACACAGGGACACACGCAGAGGAAACGTTGGAACACACAGACACACACAGACACACACAGGCACACATCCGCCCATTGGAACAGAGAGGCACACGCGAACAAAGACACGCGCAGAGAGACACGCGCCGTGGCACACAGACACACAGATACACAGATACACACACAGAGACAGAGACACAGACACACACACAGACACACAGACACACACACAGACACAGAGACACAGACACACACACAGACACACAGCAAAGACACGTACATACAGATACACACACAGATACAGACACACAGACACAGAGACACAGAGACACAGAGACACAGATACAGAGACACAGACACACAGAAGCATCACAGGTCAGCGCATTGCATCCCAACACCATCACGAACATGATGCCCTTAGTTGACCGCACAAAGACAAAGGTCCCCCGTGTAGCATGTAACGGGCAAGTGCTCTTAGCGAGCACCTATTAAGCGAGTGTTGTTGTCAGCACCACGCCCGGCCGCCTTTGTCTCCCAAATGCTGATATTACTACGCCGCACAAGGTACTTAAGGCTGAGTCGACCTAGAGGGAGGGAACCACTGGATCGGTTCGGATATCGCTTTCCACGAGTCGAATTGAGGTCGCTGGGTTTGTGGCGTAGTGCGTCAACTATCGTGCCACCGCTCCCCGAACATACAAAGACAAAGATCCCCCATAGAGTCTTTAACAGACTGTTGGGGCAAGTGCTTTTAGCGAGCCCCTATTTAGGCTGGCACAAGCACACGAGGGGGTGGGTGGCCAGCACCACGCCCGGCCGCCTTTGTCTCCCCCAGTGACGATGTTTACACACCGCACCAGGTAGGCATTTGAGGCTGAGTCGAACTCGGGGATGCCCAGGATCGGTTCAGATAATTAATCGTCACCGACGTTGTCCGTAAGCGGGAATCGAACTCGGGTAGCTTTGGTTCGTAGTGCAGTGCGCTAACTGCTGCGCCACCGCTCCCCACACACACACGCACACATGCACGCGGGTTGCCACCTCTGAGCTACACGAATCGGGGACACGTCACGGGACGACGAATATCTCACAATAGCCGAAGAAGGGAAAACCCCATACAGGTAGTAGCACGACATTATGTTGAGTGGTGAAGTATGGTTATACTGGTAGGAACGAAGTGGACCAGACCACCAATAGATTAATGTGTCCGTCCGTCCGTCCGTCCGTCCGTGGGAGGGGTGGTGTTGAGGGTGGTGTTGGAAATGAAAGACTACGAGTCTTTAAATCTCACAGCGTTTCTTGTCAAAACAAACACTTTTAATTAACGTTACACTAGAATACAGTCATTTTTTCTTTAACTCCTCTATACCTGGTCGATATCTCTGTACCGGTACTAAGTATTATTCCTACCAGCCTGTTTGTTACGCAACCTGCCCAACGAAATAATCGTGACTTTTTAAACGTCCCGGGAAGACTTCACAGACGAACAACAAGCGACGACAACAACAATATCAACAACATCAACAACAAATTGGGTCCTGGGGAAAACCGGGACAGGTGGCAACCGCAGCACAGACGCGCTTCCATCCCCCATTCACTCACAGCAGCAGCGGCAGCAGCAGCGGCAGCTTCTGTAGCTGTTGCCAACTGTTGCTATCCGAACAATTGATTTAGACGGGGGGGGGGGTTGAATTCTCTATCGGTGGCTGCCCCCCCCCTGCACCCCCTGCCCCCCTATCACAAGCATGTGGTGGGGAAATCGCCACTGCGATCGGGGTAAGGTAAGGTCGTCTCTCACCTTGACGAAATTCTTCAAAAATTTCGTTTCGCCCGTTTGCTCCATTGCTGGCAATGAAGACGGCACCACGATTTCGCGAAAAATCTGACGGGAATTAAACAACCGCGTTTAAGATCGCGAAGACTGCAATGGCACAATTAGTCGTGACTCGGCGATTTCCCCACCTACCCCCCCCCCATCTCCCCCCTGCCCCCCCCCCCCTCTCTCTCGCCATCCTTACCCCCCCACATCGTCTTGTGATGATCGCGGGAGATTTCGTGTCCGGATTATACCAAATTCACATTCTCACTGCCCCCACCCCGACCCCTCTATCTATTTACGGTGATGAAGAAACGATTGCATCTAAACGTCACCTATGACACGTATATATATGTCAAATGTGTGTGTTTATATATATATATTTTGCTATACATAAGGGACATACAGTGTTGCTGTTATTATCAGCGACGAACGTGTTTGCCAAATTTATCTTCATTATGTTGTGGTTTGCGTTGGACTCTCTGGGGGATCGCACGCTGTAGCGGAGGCACACGTTATAACGGAGGCACACGTTATAACGGAGGCACGCGTTATAACGGAGGCACGCGTTGTAACGGAGGCACGCGTTATAACGGAGGCACACGTTATAACGGAGGCACGCGTTATAACGGAGGCACGCGTTGTAACGGAGGCACGCGTTGTAACGGAGGCACGCGTTGTAACGGAGGCACACGTTATAACGGAGGCACACGTTATAACGGAGGCACGCGTTGTAACGGAGGCACGCGTTATAACGGAGGCACGCGTTGTAACGGAGGCACGCGTTGTAACGGAGGCACGCGTTGTAACGGAGGCACGTGTTGTAACGGAGGCGTGCGTTATAACGGAGGCACGCGTTGTAACGAAGGCACGCGTTGTAACGGAGGCACACGTTGTAACGGAGGCACGCGTTGTAACGGAGGCGTGCGTTATAACGGAGGCGCGTGTTGTAACGGAGGCACGCGTTGTAACGGAGGCGTGCGTTATAACAGAGGCACGCGTTATACCGGTGGCACGCATTATAACGGTGGCACGCATTATAACAGAGGCACACGTTATAACGGTGGCACGCGTTATAACGGTGGCACACGTTGCAACGGAGGCACACGTTATAACGGAGGCACGCGTTATAATAGAGGCACACGTTATAACGGAGGCAAGCGTTATAACGGAGGCACACGTTATTACGGTGGCACGCGTTATAACGGTGGCACACGTTGTAACGGAGGCACACGTCGTAACGGAGGCACGCGTTGTAACGGAGGCACACGTTATAACGGAGGCACACGCCGTAACGGAGGCACACGTTATAATGGAGGCGTGCGTTGTAACGGAGGCACACGTTATAACGGAGGCACGCGTTGTAACGGAGGCACACGTCGTAACGGAGGCACACATTATAACGGACGCACACGTCGTAACGGAGGCACACGTTATAATGGAGGCACGCGTTGTAACGGAGGCACGCGTTTTAATGGAGGCACGCGTTGTAATGGTGGCATACATTATAACGGAGACACACATTGTAACGGAGGCACGTGTTATAACGGAGGCACGGCCATGTGGCTTTTTGTTGTTGTTGTTGTTTAAATCTCCCGGTCAATAAATATATCGCCACGTGGTTTTAAAATCCCCGATACCCCTCCCCACGTGGTTTGCGGTGTGCTCGTCACAATGGGATTCCCACGACGAGTTTTCGATCGTTTGATTTTGCTCGTAACAAGTAAATCAAATGCTGTCGCTGCACGTTAATAAATAGATACTCGCGTGAGCACACATGCTGGTTCAGACTTCGCAGTGGAACGGATATCGTAAGCGATGTGGAGAGTGACAGAGATAATCCGTCGAGTTTGTGTTGTTAGTACAATGAGACGTTATCACCATCATCACTAATGATGTATCCACGAAACACCACCACCATCATCATAATCAGTATCAGCATCATTACGAATAATTCATCCACTATACACCACCACCATCATCATCATCACCAGTATCAGCATCATAACGAATAATTTATACACTATACAATACCACCATCATCATCACCAGTATCACTAATGATGTATCCACTATATACCACCACCACCATCATCATAATCAGTATCAGCATCATTACGAATAATTCATCCACTATATACCACCACCATCATCATCATCACCAGTATCACTAATAATGTATCCACTATAGACCATCATCATCACCAGTATCGGCATCATCACGAATAATGTATCCACTATACACCACCACCATCATCATCATCAGTATCACTAATGATGTATCCACTATACACCACCACCATCATCACAACAACGTCATTACGAACACCTCTTCCAAGAATCATCATCATAACTACGAATACTGTTTATGATCACGATCACCACCACACACAGTTGTATCCACCGCACGCAATCGTCATCACGAACAGCAGCAGTTCCTGGGATTCATATCGCGTCGACAAAAGGCATTTCAAGACAGAACCAGTCAAGACAATTACACCTTACAGTAATACATAACGAACAATTCCAATTATCTTACTCATCATCATCCGTTACTATTTATCCACACTACATCATCACTGTCGTCATCACTTTAATCATCAAAGATCATCATCACGATTAACGTCACCACGACCAGCACGTGTCTATCATCATAATCGTCATCATGAATTTCTACGCTTATAATTATCACGATCATCATCATCATCGTCGTGATCATCACCACGGCCGACATATCTCTCTATTATCAAAATCAACACCTGCAATTATAACCTCCCGTCGTTATCATCACCGTCATCATCGTTTCCGACATCGTTATATAACAAACAGATATGCGCTTGTTTTTCACAGATCGCGAATTCTCCGCGAGCCCTCTAAACCGCAAGTCCGCAACAATAATACATCTGTTGCTGTGTTTATAAATCAAAGAAAGCAGTCGGCCACCACTATTTAATATTTATAAACGTATAGGGGTGCTTTTTGTAGACTATAAACATGTATGTAAGGGTTATTATCACCGTGCATACGCGTGTATACCTATATATGTAGACATTGGTGGAGATAGACGAAGTATATACATTGGCGGTTGTTAAGCTGATATTCATACAGCGATTAATGATCACTGACACTCGCACTCACACACGTGCACTCACACACTCACACGCACATTCACCCACTCACTCACATACACATTCACCCACTCACTCACACGCACATTCACACACTCACTCACAGACTCACACTCACAGACTCACACTCACTGACGCACACACACAGACATGCTCACACACACACTCACCCACTCACACACGCACATTCACACACTCACTCACAGACACACACACGTACGCTCACCCACCCACTCACACACTCAGACTCACAGACACACTCACACACCCTCGTGGTTTAGAATTAGAAACCGTTATAAATACTGAAGCTAAAAATGTGTTTTGGTTTCGTGACGAGCCGACCTCTACCGAGCTGTATATAAATACAGACCACACACACACATATATGTACCTGCATGCCTGGCAAACATTATGCTTGATCAGGAAAGAAATAAATAAACTATGCGGTGGTTATGTGTACGGTCCGTATTTAAATAACTCGCCCCGACCTTATTTAATTACCGCAATCGATGAATGTCTTTTGAAAAGCGACACATCGCATTACGACTCCTCCTGCGACTGCCACCGTCTCGGCACGTCTGCCACGCTGCTGATAATACCATGAAATTACCACGGTGACCAATGCGTAATGATGCAATGGATGCACGCGCGGAATGATGTGACGAACGAGTGGAATAGCGAATGAGTGAATGAATGAATTAATGGATAGATGTCAAAGTGCACGGCCATGATGATAGGGACGGCGCGTGAATTAATGAACGATTGCATTACCGGGTGAATGAACGAGCGAATGAACGAGTGAACGAATGAGTAAAAGAACGAACATTAACCGAGGAGAGAAGAGACAGCGTCATCCGGGCAGCTCAAGAACCTTCGTTCACGACCCCACCAGATACAAAGACAAAGATCCCCCGAATAGCCTTAACAGACGGTTGGGGCAAGTGCTGTTCGCGAGCGCCTACAAACACACAATTAGATACCGACACGTATGCAAATACACACGTAGAGACATACGAATAAACACACGAGTACACACACGCACGCACATGCACAAATGCATATGCATACATACAATTATGAGCAAACAAAAAAAGGCCCCCCGTAAAGGCTCAGCATGCTTTTGGGTCAAGTGTTGTTGAGCGAGTACGCACGAATCAAAAGCACCTTGGCATGCACATGACGTTCATCCGACACACACACACAACACACACCTCTGCGTATACCCCCAATGAGTACAGCCCGCATCATTGAGTACACGCCACAGAGTACACACCACTGAGTAAAGACTACACCAGTGTACACACCACAGATTACACACCACAGAGTACACCCCACAGAGTACACACCACAGAGTACACACCACATATTACACACCACACAGTACACACCACTGAGTACACACCACAGAGTACACACCACTGAGTACACACCACAGATTACGCACCACAGAGTACACACCACAGAGTACACACCACAGAGTACACACCCAGATTACACACCTCACCACAGAGTACACACCACAGAGTACACACCACAGAGTACACACCACAGAGTACACACCACAGATTACACACCACAGATTACACACAACAGAGTACACACCACAGATAACATACCACAGAGTACACACCACAGATTACACACCACAGAGTACACACCACAGACTACATACCACAGATTACACACCACAGATTACACACCACAGATTACACACCACAGATTACACACCACAGATTACACACCACAGATTACACACCAGAGTACACACCAGAGTACACACCACAGATTACACACCACAGAGTACACACCACACCAGAGTACACACCACAGATTACACACTACAGAGTACACACCACAGATTACACCCCACAGAGTACACACCACACCAGAGTACACACCACAGATTACACACTACAGAGTACACACCACAGATTACAA